GGCTGCCGGACCTCTGACCACCACCAGTAGGCAAACATGATATTAGTATCTTTCCCAAGGATATTTGGCCTGCAGCCTGGGATCGAACCACCGACCTTCTGATTAGTGGCTGACCTGCTCTGCCACCCCGAGTCAGAGTACAGGACAGGTCGCCTCACAGAGAGACAGACAACCATTTGCACTTATGTTCATGGGTACTTTAGAAAGACCAATTAACCTAACCCCAATTACTGCATGACTTTAACTGTGGCAGGAAACCAGAGTACCCAGAGAGAACCCACTGCAAACTTGGCTATATTGCAGATTTGAACCCAAGACCTTATTGCTGCAAGGCAACAGTGCTAACCACTGTGCCACCGAGCTGTCAATCTAGACTTCAAAAAAGTAGGGAAGCTATGATTACAAGGCTTGATATAGAATTTTCTGCACGTTTTTGTCCTTTACAGGTAAAAACTCAAGGTTTGAAGTCTTGTGTGATCTTGTGAATTTTGTGAGTCCAGGCAACTAACCACAACTACAAGTTTGAATTTTGTAAATGTAACAACCACCCAATTTCATTTTTTTTGAGTGTATCAGCACAAACACCTTATACAAAATGTGAGACCATCTGTCCCAGAGCTAAAACTTGGACCAAAGTGAGTCATCAACAGGACAATGATTCCAAGCACAGCCAGACATCTACCACAGAATGGCTGAAAAAGAAGAGAAACAAAGTGTTGCAATGGTCCTGTCAAAGTCCAGACCTCAGCCTGATTTACATATGGAAAGTATTCTCAGTGCTTCACTTTTCCCACATTTTGTCATATTATAAGATTATTCCAAAATGGATTAAATTCCCTTTGTATCTTAAAATTCTACAAACAATACTTTATAATGACAAAAATGAAAAGCACACCTCTCTATTTACGGTCCCATAGGTGACAGTTCATGTCAGAGCATAAACCAAACCATGAAGTCCGAATAATTGTCTGTACATTTTGAGTCAGGATTGTTTCGAGACACCGATCTCAAGAAGAATATAGAAAAATGTCTGCAGGATTGAAGGTCCCACTGAGTACAGTGGCCTCCATCACAAATGGAAGAAGTTTGGAATCACTAGGACTCTTTCTAGAGCTGGCTGCCCAGGCAATCTGAGTGATCAGGGCAGAAGGGCCTTAATCAAGGAGGTGACATAGAACTCAGTGTTCACTCTGACCTCGAGCATTTCTCTGTGGAGAGAGGAGAACCTTGCAAAGGGACAACTATTTATATAGCACTCCATCAATTAGGCCTATATGGTAGAGTAGCCAGACTGAAGCCACTCCTCAGTAAAAGGCACATGACAGCCCACCCGGAGCATAAAGGTACCTGAAGGACTAAGCTCATGAGAAACAAAATTCGCTGGCCTGATGAAACCAATATTGAACTATTTGGCCTGAATGTATCAAGAACGGTGGTATTTAAAGAGACTGAGGACGCTCTGGATCACCTCTCATTACATCTGAGATAGTGTATAAGGCCTTGACGTCCAGTCTTTTGTGTTTAAAATGATAAATATAGTTTCTATGTACTTTTGCTCATAGCAAATATTATTTATTCTTAATCAAAAATATAATAGAAGTATAAGTCTAATTAATATGAGAAATGGAGTTTGATTAAGGAAAATTCTGTCTGTTCTAATGTCTGGATTTTATGTGTGTAGACATGATCTTCAACCTTGGCAGATTTATAAAAGTTTTATAAAACCCATGGTTTAGAAAATTTAAAAAGAAAAAGTACTTACAAAGGCCAACATCATGTGGTTTCAAGTTTTTCAGCTCCGCCTGGAGTGTGGTGATTTTATCCACACAGACACGTGTAAACATGGTTATTGTATAGTTTTTGTGAACTGTTATCTTTTCCACAGTCTCCAACAGTTCTGGGAGCTGCAGTTTCTCTTTGATGTTGAGAACAACAGATCTTCCTCCACAGCTCTCACAGAGCTCCTGGATGTCCTTGTTTTCCTTTACAAAGTTACCAACAGCTGGATCTGTAGGATCTGAGTCCACAGTGAACAGAATCATGGTGAAGTCATTGACTCGAGAGCTGAATGTGTCCTGGATGGTCTCTAACTCTC